GGTTTTTGTTTTTGTTTAAATCGTAGGCGACCATGACAACATGATAGGCAAAATTATACATTTAGATGTTTGTGTTATAAAATACGCTGTTTCTATTTGCTATTAAAGTGTTGGTGATCTGAGAATCAATTACTTGCATAGATAAAGTGGTTTTTGACGCCCCGTGATTACAAAGTTTTAGAATTCGAATTGAAGACAAGCGTTGAAATGTCTATTTTATAAATATAAGTTACATAAATAAAAGGGTTGTTGTTGAATTCAATGCCATATCTTTTCGAGAAAGATCTATCAGCGATTACTGGTAATATAAATTTGATTTTAAACGTACTGGTTTTCGAAATATGACCAATATTTTAAATTAAAATTTCAGCTTGCTCAAAATTTCTAAATATTTTTTTATACTTTTTAACAGGATATACCATATAAAATGTCTTCTACTTTAGCCTAGTAAAATTAGTAGTATTGTTTAGTATCTAAATGCATGTAGAATGTAGAATGTATGGGTGAAAGGGACGTTAATCACCGCGACTTACAGATCTTGATCGATTAGAGGATTCCTCTTCGAGGTTACGAATGGAGTCTTCCAGGTTCTTGATTTCCGGTTTAAATTGGTTTCCACTTGGAAAGCAGAACAGTTCTGATCCAGTTAGTGGAGTGTTTGCTTGTAGGCTGGCACCCAGAGTAGGAGGATTTTATTTTCTTTACCTAACAGAGTAAGCCTTAAATAAGTGCAGATATTTTACGGGTGGTATATTTTGACCCCAGAAACACGATTATGAGTTTTTTTTCACAAAAAATAAATTGAAAATTTGGATTTTTTTGAAAAAATTTCTGGAATTTTTTTTAGTTTTTAGTTAAAAAATATAGTTTGTTGATAATATGGCAACATAGGTAGTATATTAAATTTGCAAGAAAGAAAATCCAGAAAGATCCAGTGGTTCTCAAAAGTTTAGCAAAAAATCATTTTTTTTTATTTTTTCAAGAAAATATGTTTCTTTTATCGAGATCTTACCACCCCTGAAAATATTTGCACTTATTTAAGACTCACCCTGTAAATTGCTATATTTGCAATTTGCCATATATTTGTCCGCACAAAACTGCAATCCTTTGCCCATTTGACCGACTCTCCAGCTCCAATACCCATAGAGAATATCGTAGAAAATTCACCCTGTATATCGTAAACAATAAATATTGACTTTTAATAGCTAAAGTTAAGATATCTGATTATTATCCTCTGGGTTTTAATTAAGTATAAGATACCCTGTATATAATATATTTTGTAGCCTATGCACATGTTTTAACTAAAATATTTACGAATAGTATTTTTAAAATTGGTCTTTCTAGCAGATGGCTGGAATGCGTACGATAATGTTAAAAATTCTGTAAAGAATGCCGAGGGAACGCGTTCTGTCAAACAAATCTATTATGGACTACTAATTATATTGTGTGGTCGATCCTTTCAAGTTATCATTACTTAAAAATTGTATTTATATTCTCCTGTAGAATTAATTCAGTATGTATCCTTCAGCTTAATTTCAAAGCTTTAATGTGGATTCTTGATATTTTTTTCAAGATATATAGATCATTCCAAATAAACTTTTAATCAAGTGATTAAGCTTGACCGGCACAGCGTTGCCCACATTTACATATTTTATTTTAATCAAAATAGTTTAAGAAACAAAAATGAATTAGCAACAGTTACGATTTACGTTAACGTAACTCGACACACAGACTCCCTAACAGCACTTAATAACAAGGGACATAAAGGGCCATTACTACCGCCTTCTCGTTGAAAATATTAGGTTGCAATAACGGCTATTAAGCTGCATCGACATCTTGTACACTTCGCACTAAAAGCGGTTTTAAGAAGAACAATTTTCGACTGCAAAGTCTGCTAATAGAAAAATTTAAGCTTAAAGTATCGCAACACAATTCACTTAAACCAAAAACTCGTAATACAAAACTAAAGTGTCAACTCCAGTTAGTCAACCGGCGCCGAATATGTCCATGGTTGGGTTGACCACAATGAATTTAATAATTGCATTCTCGATGACGTAACTAAAAGTTTATTTGGTATCGCTTATAGCAGGGTTTCTTAAAGTGTAAAGTGCTTAGGGGTCCATAGCATGTTTGAATATCTTGAGAGTGAAGATTTGCGCAGATATTTGTCGTATTTGCCAGATATATTTACTCAATTGAATGAAATTAACTTGTCTCTTCAGGACTCTGCGGTGACCATCGTGGATGCATCTGAACGGTTGAAAGGTTTCATATGTAAACTGCCACTTTGGAAAAGGAGGGTGGAATCTGGTAACTTTGCAAAGTTTCCGATGTTTGAAGAGTTAATAGCACAATGTGACGGCAACACGATATCAAAAATGCTACAGAAAGAGGTGTCTAAGCATTCGGATACATTGCAAACTTCTTTTGAAGGCTACTTGAACTTAGAATCGCTTGAAAATGAAACGTGGGTGCGGGGTTCATTTATAATCAACAAGGATAATATCAGCGATAGAGATCTCATTAAAGATGACTTAACTGACATGAGATCAAAGCAAGTTTTGAAAGCTGAATTTCATGCAAAAAGTTTTGGTGTTCTTTAGGTCAAGCTTACCCTCTTCTTGTCAAGCGAGCTCTGTCCGTTCTGATACCATTTGCTATTACGTACCTTTGCCCGAAGCAAGGTTCTCGGTTCTGGTCTCAATAAAAACAAAAAGTCGCAACCGATTGAACGTCGCAGATGATATGCGCCTTGCGCCTTGCCTTGTCGAAGATAACCTCACAATTTAACTCTCATTGAGGCTAAACAGCAGCATCCTTCTCACTAATTTACTAGTGTACGTGTAATAAATCTACTAATAAACCTTTTCTTTTTATGTTAATAAGGCCTTTTTTTATTTTCCTCTTCCGAGATGATCATGGAGGTGCATCTCCCACCGCCTCTGACACTAATGGGAATAAAGGTGGCGAGAGTTTTCCAATGCAAGTCGGAGGGATGGGTATAAATATTGTGACGCCTACTTCTAGTGATAATCCATTGTTTGGATCTGGAAATTTGGGACATGGGGTAAGTTTAGTATAATCAGAATAAATAGAATTTTATTATAATACATAGGTATGCCAAGTATTTAAAAGTAAATTAGTTAACGTCTCCTTTTTACTGCCAGGGCTAATCTGGACAGGGTCTTCTTTGTTTACGCGGATTCCGAACCGCGGTCCTCGGCCATATCGTGGTCAATGGCCTACCCACTTTGCGAGTGTCTAAATCGACTCTTACTCACGAGATATCCGATCTCATCCGATCTCAAACCGGCGTGAATGACTGGTGTGTGTCAATAGATTTTTATACTCTTGTCATGTAACAACAGCACGACAAAGTTTCCAGACGGTCACCCGTCCATCCAGTATATAGCCTTACGTCGCTAAACTTCGGTGATCTAACGGGAACCGGTGTTTCGACGTAGTGGGGCCGTTGCCCGAAAGAAGTATATGTTTTTTAAAGTATACAGGGTAGAGATAAGGACAATAATCTCATATGGGACTTTGTTTGAAAAAGTGGTCACTCAGAAAGGGAACAATAGAGGTTCAAAAAATGGCCAGGGCAGCGCTAAAAAGCAATAAGAGTTTGAACTGATGATAACCAAAGTGAAGTTTGTCGAAAGAGAGTGGCATCACGCGCCTTCACAAATTCCAGATTTATCTCTTTTTAATTATTTACAGCTTATCGTTCATAGATAAAGGAAACAAGTTTATAAGGGAAATTAAAATAACTTTGTATTTTGTATTGTATTTACTAAAAGAGGGTCCCAGGTGGGACCCTCCACTGAGGCCGCGAGTACCTATTGTGGCTCAGTTTCTACAAGCTCTTTAATAGAAAAAGAGCATTAAAGTTCACCCTCAAGACCCAGCCTTTTAACATAGGCCGTTATGTCCGAGGGTGATATGTCGGATAGGTCTAGCGTAGGTTTGCCAAACACCTCAAACCTGGTCCTGCCCCCAGCGGGGCAGGTACACAGAACGTGTTTCATTGTTTCGTCATCTTCCATACAGAGTCGGCATTCGGCGTCTTCCACCGGTCCCATCCTCTGTAGATGTGATCTCAGCCGGCAGTGGCCCGTGTATACTGCAGTAAGCGTATGCAATAAGAGTTTGAACTGATGATAACCAAAGTGAAGTTTGTTGAAAGAGAGTGGCATCACGCGCCTTCACAAATTCCAGATTTATCTCTTTTTAATTATTTACAGCTTTAACAATTCTTGGCGCTTTCTTTCAAATGTAGAACTTTTGCTACAGCAGCGCCATCTTAATTGTACACTCTTTGATGGCCACTTTTCTATACACAAAGATAATAATTATCGTTCATAGATAAAGGAAACAGGTATATAAGGGAAATTAAAATAGCTTTGGTTGCACATCATAATACAACCACCAGCAAACTCCATAAGACGACGCATGGTGTCACTGTTGACGTGCAACGAAAGTTGTTTTAATTTCCCGTATACGTTGTAGGGCGCGGCTATAGTTGTTGCTAAGAACAACCGCCAATCAAGAACAGAAATAATTTTCTCTTGTCAACATCAGAATATTCAAAAATTATAAAATCTTTTAAAATTTAATCATTGAAAAAATACCGCAAAGTGTTTAAAGCGTCCATTTTCAAAGTAATTATTATCTTGTGTTTTTTTTTGTCAAAGCCCTGGGACTGTATGATGAGTTATAACTCAAGAAAGGGGGACACAATAGATCTGTAAGGTCGCAGTGATTAACCCCCCTCCCACTCATTCTAAATTCTAATTTTGTGAGTTTCTTCTTGTCCTTGAGTTATCTTGTCCGTTTAAATTTTATTTACTCAAACCCCTCATAATCGTGAAAAAGTGGCATGAAAACTTAAAAAGCTGTGTGAAGTGTGAAATGCAAGAACCATTGTGGACCGTGGCATAACGTTGGTGTCCAATGTTTCATAGATATTTCATACATGTCCTTCTATAAAATAAAGTTTCTTATATGCAACACACTGTATTTTATTTAAAAAATTAAAGAAAAATAATAATAAATTTGAATAAATAATATTTGGCATGTTGGCGACATAATTCCGGAAAAAGCCGAACCGCTCCGAAACTGTCAAAAACATTGTCCTTGTGGGCACTTTCCAATCTAAACTTGTTTCTTTTATCTGTTTTCTTCCCTTTGTCCACCATAAAAGCATGATACTTAATAGATTATTTTTCTCATTGGAGCATATGGTATTGTATATGGTTATTGCATAAATAATAGTATTTCTTGATAGTTTTGCGAGATATAAAGATGAAAGATGTCATACGCAAGGCTATTTAAAAATAATATTTACTTTTTATTGTGTAGTACTTACTGAATAGCATTAAAATTTAGACTTAAAGCATGAAAATTAATATGAAATAAACTACAGCTGATGATGATTAGAATAAAATTCCGATAACAAAGAGCGCGTCCAAAAATTGCTTTAGCAATAATTGTGATTCCAAATATAATCTGAATAGAATACTCTTTTATTGACAAGTTTAGAAATTGTGATAATAGGGGGTTGATTTCATTAAAGTTTAATAAGAAATTTTCGGAGAAATGTGCCAAAAATATTTTAAAAATGGGGATATCAGGGTGTGAAATTTAAAAAAAATATTTTTTATATAAATTCAAAAATAATTAAGAATATGTTATTTTTTTTCTAACTTAATAACACTTAAACAAATATTTACAATTTTGTTTTAATTTAAAATCAAGTATTTTCGAGAAGTTTCTCAGAAACCCTTTACTGAGAAATGTGTTAATTTTTAATTAATTTTGTTTGGTAAGTTGAGTTATAAATTCTTGCTTTCTTACATCAACAAAATATTACGAAAATTACTAAAGGTTAACTTGTTGAAGTTATTTGTATAATAAAATAACAAATATTTATATTTATTAATTTAACAATTACCAGAAAATGAAAGTTAATATAGGAAAACAAAAATAGTGTTGCTAGAATAATGTTAAACATATATCACCCCTAATATGAATTAACTAATTTGTTTAGTTGATGATATGTTGACATTAACATGGCATTAAAACAGGGTCACGTTAGAGACAGGCTCTATAGTTAGTACCATGGTCGCTGTAAAACCAAAACCTAAAATATAAAGAAAAATCTTACTATAAAATGGCTTTGAATTTTATTTTTGTAAAATTACTAATAATGAGTGACACCACAACAGTTAATTAGAATTTATCTGAGTTCCACATAGGAAGAAATAATTTAAATAATCATGCCTTGGACAATTTCATAGTCGATGGTTAATGACTTTATGGTCTTAGTGTCCTGATGATGAGACATACATTTGGTTGAAACTAGTACCCGCTAATTTTGTAAAAAAATATTAATATAAGACTATAATTGCGCCTTTCATTTCCTCATTTGAGTATAGTTACTTATTTAAATAGAATGTTGTTATATTTTTTGCTCAAGTGGATTTAACAATAATATGTTTATTTACCAAACACAAAGTCTGTTTTAATCCAAGATTTCTACAGAGGACATCCAAAAAAAAATTACAAAATATAATGTACTAAAGACAGATAAATATTCTTTGGACAAAATAGAAAAAATAATATAAAAAAGTATTTACCTAAAGTTAGAATTGGTGTGTGAAATCATATGGTATATAAATATAAAAATAAGAAATAGTAGTATTGCATTATTTTACAATACTAAATCGCTGATTTTTTGCTTAATATATTTCTTTATGATTAATAGACGAGCCCATTGTTGAAAAGTGGTTTAACAGAGTCAATTGCTGTTATGGGTAGTACTAATACACCTCCATCTAGTCCATCTCTGAGTATCCCAAAGGGCCACAGACGCAATATGAGTGACACTACAGCTTTCAACAAGTAGGTATATTTAAAGGTAGTTTATTATGACACACATTAAATTTGCTTTGAGATTTATAAGCGACAAGTTATTTTCAACTAAAATATTATAACATATTTGTAATTATTGCAGCTTCCCTAATTGTTTATATTTTTATCTTAGATTAGATTCTGGTTGCGTGTTTACAGAACACTGATATATTTTGTTTATTCTGACTCTTTTGAATAAAAAAAAATATTTACCAATCGGTAAATTAACAGCTGACGATTTTTTATAGAGCTTTTGCAAACGAGACTACACAATTTTTGGCTCCTTTTGAGTCGTCAATGAAACCAAAAACTCGGGATTCGCCCACTCAAGCTTGTTCTGATGATACAGTTACAGCTCCAATGGGAAGTTCTACATCTACCTGTGATGTCAGCCATTCTATAGGTAAATCTAATGTATAATACCGTATGGTACAAATATATTATAAGACTATATTGCTAGTACCGCATTTATACAATAAGTGGAAAGTGAAACCAAAGAAAGGAAATAGGAATATTAATCTTGCATAAGTTTGTCCTTTTAGTTCAACAGGATTTTCGTGCGAACGCGCCAAATAAAACGATGTGATTCGTCTGCTTCATCGCTGAACGCTGTCACCTGCCCGCGCACTATTTTAAATTCTAAATATTAATAACGTATAATACATTTATGTATTTTAAGCAAATTTAATTAAGTCAATAACACATGCACACACAGAAAACATAGTATACCTGTATACTACACACATATACTGTTTTCTGTGTATGCATGTGTTATTGACTTTTAAAGATTAGGATTAAGTTTTAACAAAAAGTACAAATCTACGTTCAGGATGGAACTAGTAGAAGATTCGTTATGAAAAAGATCAAGATATCGTCGAAACGTCATGATATATATCGTTGGTGAAATGTGATAAACTGCTAACTCCATTATTTCTAATTTTACAGGAGAGCAAAAAAACGGTACAAAAAAATATGTACACATGTAGGAAGGATTTTCATGCGTTAATATGATAAAGAGATGAGAATTTTATTTGCTGGGGAACTAAAAACTCAATATTTCGTGTTACATAATTTTTTTCAGACACAATAGGGAGATAGCAGATATTCGTCTAGCAGAAATAAGAAATAAAAATATACTTCTGGAGATAGCAACCTTTATTGTTTGAAATTTTGAAAATGGAATTGAATATTACCCAAACAGATTTAGAAATAATGAATTAAATTTAAAAAATATGATATTCATAACCATAGAATATCGTCGGTCTAGAAGAAAAACATACAAGTCCAAAAACGAATAAATTTTTAAAGAACTGAAGTAGCAGCATTTTGGACTTAATGAATATGAAAATAATTTAAAAATTAAACTTATAATTTTTAGAAGATATGGTAGAATCCTTCCACGCTTATCCTAATTTTTATATAACGGTAGTAGACCGAGCTTGAAAAACAGTGCGTAATTTGATTAAATTTTTATTACTTTTCTCCTTTTTTTTTTAATTTTTATAAAAATTATGTATCATTTACGTGGAAAAACGTTGAAAAAAATAAAACTGATTAGGTATTATGGAAATTCTTGTACAACTAAGTAATGTTATTTAAACTATTTATAGCACGTCGATGAATTGCTCATATATAGAAAATTTCGTTTTCCCCTTACCCTATACGGGTATAGTAAACGCCACGAATGTTTGGGAGTGATTCATCGGTCGCTACCATGTGAACTAATCTGTTCAAGGTTACATAAAACTTAATTCCAGTGCCGTGGTGTTTCAAGTCATATAATAATCAATATATAATCTGTTGTAATTTGTTGTTTTAACTGTCAAAGTCTTGTCAAAACATATATTTGGTTATAAATATAAAATGGAATGTCTCATTGGTCGCACTGCAAGCACACCAATTGACTGACGCACAAAAACGAATCAATCAAAGAAACGCGATATAGTATCGTCTTTGTCAATCACGCTAACATTTTAGAATAAGTAGGAGGAGCGCAGGCAAATGATTAGACCGGGCCTTTATTTACGTTTTTAATGTAAAAATTATAGCGCGCGTGTCGATTCTAACTTCATCAAGCGATAAATCACTCCCAAACATTCGTGGCGTTTACTATACCCCGTATTTACAGAAGGGATCGACGCAGGGCTGGACTGGCCATATTTTATATATAACTATTAGGGGGCCCCAGTCTTCGCAGGCCCTTTTATAGTTCATTATTTATTCTTAACAATACTTGCATTTAAGGCATTTGCATTGCATTGGTTTACCTTTGCATTAGGGTAGTTCCCTTGGCTTTACTCTTTTTACTTTCGTGAAATAGAAAAGGAAAATAATAAAACAAGTGACAGTTCTTCCTCTTCTTGCAAAAATCAACACGAAATGTCATAATTGCCAAAAGTAAATGTCATCAGCGTTTGACATTTCTAAATATCAAACCAATGTCGTCTCTAATAGAACAGCCTCGGAGCGAGATTTATGACGTCACGCTAGTTAGATACTAAGGATTAATAAATATGTTGTAAAATACATGGAAAGCATAATTATTCCTCGTATTTTTTGGTTTGTATTTTAAAATGATATAGTTTACATGAAATATACATAATATACAGTTAATAAATACAATATATATTATTAGTGATGTATTATTATTTGCATTCACAAAATTTATATGTATATTTTGCAAGTACCAATGTTCGAAAAATTATATTTGCAAATAATGCAATATCATAGAAAAAAGGCGTCAGCGATGGCTATAAAATAAAGATCGCTGTCATTTTATATGTAAAATTATTCTAAAATTTTTGATTTTCTTGAGATTTAGGTTAGGATGGAGTACGATTTCAGCCATAGTCAATGTAGATAGTTTTAGTGTCAAGAATAATAATTGTAAAAAATAAACAAAATATTAAAAATAATCAAAAACAATAAATAATAATGAATTAATATTATTAAAAAAGTTATTAACTGTATGTTATGTATATTTCATGTAAACTATATAATTTTTAAAATACAAACCAAAAATACGAGGAATAATTATGTTTTGCATGTATTCTACAACATATTTATTAATCCGTAGTATCTAACTAGCTTGACGTCATAAATCTCGCTCCGAGGCTGTTCTGTTAGAGACGGCATTGCGTCAGCATGGCCGCAAGTTGCTAACCTAATAAAATTAACACTAAAAAAGCGCGCGGGAACTGTCAAATTCAAAGTTATTCGTTTCACAGACTATACCTATGTTGCCATATTACAAACAAAATATGTTTTTAAACTAAAAATTAAAAAAATTCCAAATTTTCCAAAAAAGGAAAAATTGACGTGTTTCTTGGGTCGAAATATACTACCCCTAAAAAGATTTGCACTTATTCAAGACTTACCCTGTATATAATAGGGAAAAATTGACCAAAACGTAAGGCGAAAATATACGCAAAAAAATCCACACGGGTCCCTCCTTACATTCCCACCCGGGCCCCTTTGGCCTAGTGCGACCCTGTATCGACGTACTGTACTAAAGAAACATACGAGTAAGAATCCGTGTGTTTGCTATAGCGTGATCGTAACGGAAATTACGGAGATAGCAGCATTTCGGTGGGTATTTCAGATTACTGGGAGTTAGCAGATATTATTGAGTTAAAATAGCAAATTTTCTTTAATGGGAAAAAATGTATTTGCTTTCCCTACTTATAGAGTATTTTTTTCTCTGTCTAATGGTATAAAAAACTTATTAACATAAGAAATGGAGTTAGCAGGTTATCACGTTTCACTGACGATATATAAAAAAAAATTATCAATAAATAATAATTATGTATAAAATCTTTAAAATATTTATTTATCTGACCTCAAACCAAGAATTAAATTTGCTTAAAATATATTTCATAACGTCAAAGAATAATTGAAACTAAAATATTTATGTATTATATATTTTATTGGTAATGGAATTATTTCAACCTATTATTTTAGATATTCATCATATCTATCCGTTTCTTGTTTTTGTTTAAATATGTCAGAGATTAAAGATCAAATTTAATTTATCAGTAAAGGCACGAATAGTCAGACGCTAAATTGATTTACGTGGTAGATCGAAACTTAGAAAACTACTTCTATTGGTCAGTATGAAATAAATCAACTAATCGCGAAGCACTTCTCACGCTTCCGTAGTTCAAAGCTGTTGAACGAAAAGGACAGACTTATGTGGATTTACTAGCAATATAGTCTGATAATATATTTGGTGTGGTAAGTAAAAACGGAATCAATTTAGCTTGGAAGTCACGATCAATGACATTCAGCATATAATAATCCAAGTTAATAAACCAAAGTCGGGTTAGTTACACCATTTATAACACAAGAACGACTGGACCGATTTTAATGATCGCCAATTTGCTGGATTTTTTTCTGCTTCGATTAGCAGAATAAATATTAAAATATGGGAAAAATTCACGAAAAAAATATACCAAGTCAATAAATTTGGTTTGGAACTACACCATCTTCCCCAATTGACAGCTTATATCACGCACGCTTATAACCTATTCGTAATAATTGATGTCCACTGCAACATACATAGTAGACAATGTAGATATAGAATAAAAATTCCATGGAAAATGTGGGAAAATAGCGTATTTTCAAAACTAGAAAGATATTGAAATAAAATATAGAAAATACTTGAATCAAAATGTAAACAAAAATATACAGGGTGTTTCAAAAAATACGTGTCATATCTCGTGGGGAGATTCCTCACGTAAAAATAAGATTTATTTTTCATATTAACATAGGTCCGATTCTGCTTTGTTTCTTAGCTAGGTCTTAATAATTTTTCCATTTATTATAATTTTTTTCCAAGTACTTTTAGCGATTCAAATGAAAAAGAAACTTGGGCGGCACATTCTGCACATAAAAATAAGTAAAAAAGTTCGTATAAATTTATGTTCTAAAATGCTTTGTTTCGGAGATACAGGGTGTAGTTTCATTTTTATTTCGATTTTTTTCTAATAATTTCTTATCTAAATTTGGTATTTGGTTGAAAATTAGTATCTAGGGTTTTTTCAACTTGAGAAATTTAATTTCGATGTCAATATGACTCTTTGTAGGGGGCTCCACCTACATCTTTTTTAACTGGTTTGAAGAGTAATATTTAATTTGTCCGTTCCTGTATTACACTACTGAGTGTAAAAATATACATTTACGCCTTATTTTACATAAAAAAATGTTCTCGAGATATTTGGATTTTTAATAATCAACGCACGTCATCAATGACAAATATTAAAGATTTTCACTAGAAAGATATTTGACTGAACTAATAATTTTTAATAGTTTTTTTGGTCATTTTTACGTAAGAGGTATCTTGGTAAAAATTACAACAAATAACTATTATAGAGATATTCGGATTTGAAATAATCAATGCATGTTAATTTTCTAAATTGCAAACATTTTAGAAAATTTATGATAACATGGTTTCGGTTGAACCTTTAGCTTCAACTCGTTTTAACGGAAATACGATTTTTCAAAAATTACGAAATTTCGAGAAAATTGACAATTGGTTTTAAAACAGCTTCTGTTAAACTTTTGGTATCAGAAATCAGAACGTTTCGAAAATTATTAATTTACTCTAATTATTTTTAAAAACGTCGTAAATGTATATTTTTTCACTCATTAGTGTAATACAGGGATGAACTAAAAGTTATTACTCTTCAAAACAGTTAAAAAAGATGTTGGTAGCGCCCCCTACAAGTAAGAGTTATATTGACATCGAAATCAAATTCCTCATGCTAAAAAACCCCAGATACCAATTTTCGTCCAAATATTAGTTCAAAAATTATTTCGAAAAAATCGAAATAAAAATGAAACTTCTACACCCTGTCTTTCCGAAACGAAGCATTTTAGGACATAAGTTTATACGAACTTTTTTACTTATTTTTATGTGCAGATTATACTGCCGTAGTTTCCGGAATACAGTTCGGACCACCCTGTATAGAAAATGACAGCGACTCTCATGTCCAAGCCAACTCTGATGCCGTTTGTTTTCACGCAATAATCTTAAAATATACCACCGTATTGTATATTATTTAAGATTTATTTTTTCTTTCCAAGCTATACGAATAAGTATGTTCAAAGAATATTATACGCTGTAGAAGTCTGGTCTCTCATCAACATCGAATATTTTTATGGGGCAGCCCTATGTGAATCCATCTGCGGCGTTGCAAAAGGAGTCACGAGAATGGCCACAAAACGATGGGTAGCCAACAAATCCCTAGACTCATGGAGACATTAACCAGGGCAGAGACAGGCGAAAAAGTTCACAGCAGAACATTCGCTAAACATCACGGCAAACAAGAACGGCTCAAAGACAGAAAAACAGTCAAAGTAAATAGTGGTTCTACTAACAGGACATTGTTAGCTGGATAGGCATCTAACGCTAACGAGTTTGATGGACGAAGTCAGGTTCTGTCAATCTGAAGAAGAAACGACAGAACACATTTTATGTCGGTGCGACAGCCAGGCAAATGTGCAGTTTTCTGTAATAGCCAATGATAGGCTAATTATATGGAGAGTAGTCTCTTAGGATAGGATTGGAGAGTGTAACATATTAGAAGAGGACCATAATAGATCTGAAAATGTCGCAGTGGATCAGGTCGATAGCGACCTCGAAGAATTTAGTGCGAAGGCCCGATTTTAATGCGAGACCGGACTTCTAGGGCGTTTAATAGTTTTTGGTATGTTACACGTAATTTTTTTGCTCTGTAGGACCAGATGGCAGGTCACTTTCCGCTGACGTGGCTAATTGGAACCCGTTTGAAGAAGGCACACCTTTCAGTCACATGACAGAGGATCATATTTTCGGTGCAGAATTTGATAAAATCAGACGCGGTAGTGACCAACAAAGCAGTAAGTAAATTATTATGACATACAACAAATAACGGTCAAGTTGGTACCTTTGGAAGTATTTGCACCTCAAAAAATAGATACAATATATAAAATTATATTTCAAAAACAATCTAACCCTGTTTTAATTTATTTATTCTGTTGCAGATATTTCATTGCAATCTAAGGAAAATCTGGCTGTGCAGGAAGACCCTTTTGGCAATGCACCTTTTAGTCTTCCACTTAAAGCCCGTGATAAATCCCATAAAAGGCTACATTCCTCAGGTAATTTGTCCTAAACACATACAGACTTATAGGCTATTTTATATTATAGGGTGATTCTCAAACTTTGAATAAATTCAGTAAATCAAATATATTTTTTTCTATAACATGTCCAAATACGTCGTCTTTAAGTATTTTAAATTGCGCTCTTTTTGATATAAGCAAATTTTGTACAGCGTTTCCAAAATTTAGGATACAATGTTGACAAATTTTTATCTATTCTTAAAGGGCATATCCAGTTACACGTGCCATTCAAAATGTTACTCCATGTCATTTAAAAGATGTTTAATTAAAAAGTATTGTATCTAATTCAAAAAATAACTTTATGTTATAGTATTTCTTCCATAAATGCAGAAATTACGATTCATTTACTAACGATAAACCTAAACCATCCTAAACAGAACTTAGTTTATAATTACTTTGTTGGTATATAGTCTATACTTATAATTTTTAGAATTTGGAACTGGGTACGCTTTTGTAATTTCATGTATAATTTAAGAAACGCCATAAAAAATCGGATTTTGAAAAAAATATCGTTGACGTCATATCTCAAATTTTAGACATGCAGCATAAAATGTTCTTACATCAAAACGAACACAATTAAAATTCTGATCCACGTTTACAAGCATATTTCCGTAAAAACAAATATCTTTGATTTGCTGACTTGCTTAGAAGGGAAGTTAGAGAGTCACCCTTTATATTTTCATTTAATTTGAAAGTTTGTACCTACAGATATTCATCATATCTATCCGTTTCTTGTTTTTGTTTAAATATGTCAGAGATTAAAGATCAAATTCTAATTTATCAGTAAAGGCACGAATAGTCAGACGCTAAATTGATTTACGTGGTAGATCGAAACTTAGAAAACTACTTCTATTGGTCAGTATGAAATAAATCAACTAATCGCGAAGCACTTCTCACGCTTCCGTAGTTCAAAGCTGTTGAACGAAAAGGATAGACTTATGTGGATTTACTAGCAATATAGTCTGATAATATATTTGGTGTAGTAAGTAAAAACGGAATCAATTTAGCTTGGAAGTCACGATCAATGACATTCAGCATATAATAATCTAAGTTAATAAACCAAAGTCGGGTTAGTTACACCATTTATAACACAAGAACGACTGGACCGATTTTAATGATCGCCAATTTGCTGGATTTTTTTCTGCTTCGATTAGCAGAATAAATATTAAAATATGGGAAAATTCTCGAAAAAAATATACAAAGTCAATAAATTTGGTTTGGAACTACACCATCTTCCCCAATTGACAGCTTATATCACGCACGCTTATAACCTATTCGTAATAATTGATGTCCACTGCAACATACATAGTAGACAATGTAGATATTATAGAATTAAAATTCCATGGAAAATGTGGGAAAATAGCGTGTTCAAAACTAGAAAGATATTGAAATAAAATATAGAAAATACTTGAATCAAAATGTAAACAAAAATATACAGGGTGTTTCAAAAAATACGTGTCATATCTCGTGGGGAGGTTCCTCACGTAAAAATAAGATTTATTTTTCATATTAACATAGGTCCGATTCTGCTTTGTTTCTTAGCTACAGGGTGTAAAGGTCTTAATAATTTTTCCATTTATTCTAATTTTTTTCCAAGTACTTTTAGCGATTCGAATGAAAAAGAAACCTCGGCGGCACATTCTGCACATAAAAATAAGTAAAAAAGTTCGTATAAATTTATGTTCTAAAATGCTTCGTTTCGGAGATACAGGGTGTAGTTTCATTTTTATTTCGATTTTTTTCTAATAATTTCTTATCTAAATTTGGTATTTGGTTGAAAATTAGTATCTAGGGTTTTTTCAACTTGAGAAATTTAATTTCGATGTGAATATGACTCCTTGTAGGGGGCTCCACCTACATCTTTTTAACTTGATTTGAAGAGTAATAACTTTTGTCCGTTCCTGTATACACTACTGAGTGTAAAAATATACATTTACGCCTTATTTTACATAAAAAAATGTCTCTTGGTAAAAATCGCTGCAAGCAACTGTTCTCGAGATATTTGGATTTTTAATAATCAACGCACGTCATCAATGACAAAGATTTTCACTAGAAAGATATTTGACTGAACTAATAATTTTTAATAGTTTTTTTGGTCATTTTTACGTAAGAGGTATCTTGGTAAAAATTACAACAAATAACTATTATAGAGATGTTCGGATTTGAAATAATCAATGCATGTTAATTTTCTAAATTGCAAAAATTTTAGAAAATTTATGATAACATGGTTTCGGTAGAACCTTTAGCTTCAACTCGTTTTAACGGAAATACGATTTTTCAAAAATTACGAAATTTCGAGAAAATTGACAATTGGTTTTAAAACAGCTTCTGTTAAACTTTTGGTATCAGAAATCAGAACGTTTCGAAAATTATTAATTTACTCTAATTATTTTAAAAAACGTCGTAAATGTATATTTTTCACTCAGTAGTGTAATACAGGGATGGACTAAATGTTATTACTCTTCAAAACAGTTAAAAAGATGTTGGTAGCGCCCCCTACAAGTAAGAGTCATATTGACATCGAAATCAAATTCCTCATGCTAAAAACCCCAGATACCAATTTTCGTCCAAATATTAGTTCGAAAATTATTTCGAAAAATCGAAATAAAAAATGAAACTTCTACACCCTGTCTTTCGAAACGAAGCATTTTAGGACATAAGTTTATACGAACTTTTTTACTTATTTTTATGTGCAGATTATACTGCCGTAGTTTCCGGAATACAGTTCGGACCACCCTGTATAGAAAATGACAGCGACTCTCATGTCCAAGCCAACTCTGATGACGTTTGTTTTCACGCAATAATCTTAAAATATACCACCGTATTGTATATTATTTAAGATTTATTTTTTCTTTCCAAGCTATACGAATAAGTATGTTCAAAGAATATTATACGCTGTAGAAGTCTGGTCTCTCATCAACATCGAATATTTTTATGGGGCAGCCCTATGTGAACCCATCTGCGGCGTTGCAAAAGGAGTCACGAGAATGGCCACAAAACGATGGGTAGCCAACAAATCCCTAGACTCATGGACACATTAACCAGGGCAGAGACAGGCGAAAAAGTTCACAGCAGAACATTCGCTAAACTTCATGGCAAAGAAGAACGTCTCAAAGACAGAAAAACAGTCAAAGTAAATAGTGGTTCTACTAACAGGACATTGTTAGCTGGATAGGCATCTAACGCTAACGAGTTTGATGGAGGAAGTCAGGTTCTGTCAATCTGAAGAAGAAACGACAGAACACATTTTATGTCGGTGCGACAGCCAGGCAAATGTGCAGTTTTCTGTAATAGCCAATGATAGGCTAATTATATGGAGAGTAGTCTCTTAGGATAGGATTGGAGAGTGTAACATATCAGAAGAGGACCACAATAGATCTGAAAATGTCGCAGTGGATCAGGTCGATAGCGACCTCGAAGAATTTAGTGCGACGGCCCGATTTTAATGCGAGACCGGACTTCTAGGGCGTTTAATAGTTTTTGGTATGTTACACGTAATTTTCTTGCTCTGTAGGACCAGATGGCAGGTCACTTTCCGCTGACGTAGCTAATTGGAACCCGTTTGAAGAAGGCACACCTTTCAGTCACATGACAGAGGATCATATTTTCGGTGCAGAATTTGATAAAATCAGACGCGGTAGTGACCAACAAAGCAGTAAGTAAATTATTATGACATACAACAAATAACGGTCAAGTTGAGGGTACCTTTGGAAGTATTTGCACCTCAAAAATAGATACAATATATAAAATTATATTTCAAAAACAATCTAACCCTGTTTTAATTTTATTTATTCTGTTGCAGATATTTCATTGCAATCTAAGGAAAACCTGGCTGTGCAGGAAGACCCTTTTGGCAATGCACCTTTTTAGTCTTCCACTTAAAGCCCGTGATAAATCCCATAAAAGGCTACATTCCTCAGGTAATTTGTCCTAAACACATACAGACTTATAGGTTATTTTATATTATGGGTGATTGTCAAACTTTGAATAAATTCAGTAAATCAAATATATTTTTTTTCTGTAACATGTCCAAATACGTCGTCTTTAAGTATTTTATATTGCGCTCTTTTTGATATAAGTAAATTTTGTACAGCGTTTCCAAAATTTAGGATACAATGTTGACAGTTTTTATCTATTCTTAAAGGGCATATCCAGTTACACATGCCATTCAAAATGTTACTCCATGTCATTTAAAAGATGTTTAACTAAAAAATATTGTATCTAATTCAAAAAATAACTTTAATATATATTAGTATTTCTTCCATAAATGCAGAAATTACGATTCATTTACTAACGATAAACCTAAACCATCCTAAACAGAACTTAGTTTATAATTACTTTGTTGGTATATAGTCTATACCTATAATTTTAGAATTTGGAACTGGGTACGCTTTTGTAGTTTCATGTATAATTTAAAAACGCCATAAAAAATCGGATTTTGAAAAAATATTGTTGACGTCATATCTCACATTTTAGACATGCAGCATAAAATGTTCTTACATCAAAACGAACACAATTAAAATTCTGATCCACGTTTACAAGCATATTTCCGTAAAAACAAATATCTTTGATTTGCTGACTTGCTTAGAAGGGAAGTTAGAGAGTCACCCTTTATATTTTCATTTAATTTGAAAGTTTGTACCTACTTCTTTTACGTTCAAGTCTTATCTAGACGAATGATATTAGTTGAGTTTTAAGTTCTATTTATTTGACTCATGTAGAAAATTTTAATGGAAATCTGGAAAATTTAAAATTAATTTTTCTGTTTTATTAATCAATAAACTTTTTTATAGCCTATAATATCGTTTTGCACATATTAGTTTTTGTTATTTAGTCTAGTCAAATTGTCTTTTTTGTGGGAGAATTTTGGGTAGTTCTGATTTATTTTGTTCTTTATATTTATTGGTGCGCAGAATCCGAATCGGATGTTTGCTAACTAAACTTCGTGACAGTGAAAAAAATGCGAAATAAGCGTAAAA